ACTATCAGAAAGCGTTTTAGGTTTCAAGGTTGATATTGGAGTTTAAGGTATGAGATGTGTATTGCACAGTAGTAAGTGTGGATGTACTGAACAGGAGAGTAAGTTTAGATTTATGAAGAGTGGGGGGGTTGTGTTGCCAGGGATGGGATTTTGTGATTTTTTCTTACTGACAGCTTTTTGTTGGGTTATTATTGGCTTTAGTGTGTTGCTGCAGTGATCCCCAAGCACAAAATAGCCATAGGTGGAGGTATGGATTAAATGAGTGGTATAGTGTGAGAAGGGATCTTCTGCGGCCACGTCCGTATCGTTATCTTGGAGAGGATCCAATGTTTTGGATAACTTTTGGTTATGTGTTGGATATGGGTGCTGAAATTCAGGTTTTGTCAGGTATAGGCCTAGGAATTTGCACCTCATTTTGTCTGGTAATTAGAGTGTTGTGATCTTATTGTTTAATTTGAGACATCTCCTGCTCTGTACCAAACATAATATTTGTGGTTTTGTCAGTGTTAAGCGTAAGTTTATTGGCCTGTCAATCCAAGTCGATATTTTGGATCAGCTCCTCGTTAACAATGGGGTTGAGGGTGGAGATTAGGGTGAGGAGATGACATAAGTTGTGTTGCAGCAAAGAGAAATGGGTTTTCAGGTGTTGGGATACGTTTGGAAGATCATTGATGTATATGAGGAAGAAGAGCAGTGGACACCAGGGACACTTCCTGCGGAACTCCAGTATCAAGTGGCCGGTTCGAAGTTGGTTGATGCTGTGGTCCTTTTAATGGTAACATACTGATACCTATTAGTAAGGCAAGATTTGAAATAAGCAAGCGCTTGGCCTCTATACCGTATGGTCAAGTTGTGGAGTTGGGATGTCGTGTTCTACTGTGTCCAAAAAGCTTTTCTTAGGTCAATAAAAATTCTAGGGATATTCCTTATTTTCCAATGCTGTGTTTGTTGTTAAAGCAGATCTGCATTAATTATGATTGCATCAATAGTTGATTTTATTTTTCCTAAATCCAAAATTGGCAAGGGGATTGAGTATGTTTTGTGCTGTTATACATGAATTTAGTCTCCTGTGCACGAGTTTATCAAAGATTTTGGTAACAATGGTAAGTTTGATAATTGGCCTATAGTTCGTTTAAAGTCTGTAGGGTCACACCTTTATGTTATTGGTGTAACCCTAGCATCTTGAGTAGCTTTCGGGAAGGTGCTAGTTTCTAGTGACTTGTTACAAAGTAATGAAATAGCATGCGAAAGGTATGGGCCGCTCGCTTGTATGTAATGGTGGACATTAGACAGATTCCCCGAGTTGTTTTTAAGTGACTTTATAATCTCGGGGACTTCCGAGGCTCAGTTGGTGCAGGATAGAAGGAATTTGGAAATTCCCATCTAGGTGTCCCCGGCAATGGCATTAGTATGCTGGATTTTATTGGCGAGATTATATCCTCAAGGTTGGAGAAGACAGTCGTCGTTATCTTGTTAGCTGTGTCAGTGGGATGCTAGTGGTGTTTCATTAAGGTTTAGTTATGACAATATTCTTGTTTTTTTTCAGTTTGTGGGTCCCTAGAATCTGAGAGAGTGTTTTTTCAGGTCTTTTTTTATATTCTCCTCTAAGTGTCTGTGAATCTACTGAAGTAGTCTAGTTGTTTGGCTTTCTTTATTACTTTGGTGAGAACGATGGAATAGTGTTCAGGAAATATCTTTGTGTATTAAGGCCCTGTCTATATTCTTTTCATTATTGGTGTTTCTTGTCAATGGATTTCAGATGGTGCTGGTTAGCCATGGGCAAACCAAGCCGTGGTTTGTGAGTCTCTGTTTCGTTTTTATAGGAAATGTTTGTTGTATAGTCTAAGTAATTTGTTAAGAAAATGTCTGTCCAGTTCATTCAGTACCATTGGCCTTGAGAGGAATTCTCGTAGGCCCAGTAAACAATTCTAGGTTCAGTGTGAACTTCCTTATTGAGGCTCGTCATCGGAGGTCTAAATGAGACTTTGTTGTATTCAAGTGGTGTTTATTAATGTTTGTAAGGAGGAAGGTAGGGTAGTGGTCTGTAGTGCTATCTGTGATTATCCTCGATTTAAGGGGGCTAGTATATTGGTCCATATGTGGTCTATTTGGTTGCATTGTCTTCAGGTGAGCCTGGTTGGTTTAGTTATTGTTGGTATGAGAATGTGTTGTTTCATATTGTTGATGAAATCAGTTACAGGCTGATCATCTAGTAAGCCAAGGTGTTGGATGTTGAAGTCTCCAGTAAGAGAAGGTGGGGCTTAATTCATTTGTCTGTTTGTTATTAGTACTTTAATTAGCAAAAATGTATTCCCCTTTTCATACTAAACCAAGTGGCTAATACAAGATTAATTGGTTAGGAGTAATAGATTGCAATACCACCCCAACTTGGTTTTTTGGTCTGCGTTTGTGAAATGTGTGGTATCCTGGTAGAGGGTAGATATCTATTGTGTCCTGCTTCTTAGCCAGGTCTCAGTAAGAATAATGCAGGAGATGGGTTTTGTCTTTAGTGTTTTCAAGGGCAAAAAAGTTGCCAGGAGGTCATCATAGTGTTGCTTAAGGACCTGATGTGTGTAGTTAAGTACTGATAGGCTTTTAGCATTGTTTAGGATAGGCTTGGCTTGTGATGCTGTGTAATAAAGGCAGTTTACTTTCCAATTAGGTTTTTGATTGGGTGTCAGATTATGGAAGGGTTTAGATCAGGGTCAAAGTGTCAATCATCTTCAGGTTTTTAAATTATGGTTATTTATATCCTGAGTTATGTGTTGAGTTCTAGTAGTGATATCTGTAGTGGTGGGAAGCTTGGATAAGTATATAGCTAGAGTATTTTGGTCATATAGAGTATAGTCACTACTACACATAATGAAGTTGATGTTGTCTATGTGTTGTGCTGGAATGAACTAAAGTACAACTAGGTATAAACTAGTAATATAAAAATACAAATTTAAAATAGAACAAGACTCTCACTTGTAATTGCACTAAGGTCTAATATAATGACTTTTGTGGAGTCTATGTTTTGAGCTAGAATGAGCTATAGTACAACTAGATTTAATCTAATAATATAAAAATACAAATTAAAAATAGCACCAGTCTCTCACTAGTAATTGCAGTATGGTCCAATATAATGAATTTGGTATTGACTATAGTACAACTGAGTTTAATCTAATAATATAAAAAAGGCACAAGACTCTCAATTGTAACTGCACTAAGGTGTTATATAAGTTGTTTACAAGAATTAGAGTATAACTAGATTTAAATTGACAAGATAAAATATACAAGTTAAGGTAGCAAAAGAATAAAAAAAAGTAGAAAAAAAAAAAAGATACATGAGGTAGTTGGTACTAGTTAGCAAAAGATAGTTAAGGGCCTTGAACAATAATATAATTGAAATATACACTAATTGCACACACAGTATAGTCACTAAGATATGAAGACAATCTTAGAGTAGGAATTATAATATAAACTTATAATATAAAAATACAAATTGAAATGGTACTTGCAATTGCACTAGAGTCTGGTATAGGTTGTTGACAAGATCAAGAGTATAACTAGATTTAAATTGACAAAATAAAATTCACAATTAAAGTACCAAAAGAATAATAGTAAAAAATAACAATGGTAATGTCTTGGTTATAATATGATAGTAAGATGGTAGACAGGTACACAGGTACAAAGGATAATATAAAGGTTGGAGTTGAATATACAAACTTGAAAATTTGGCAACGAAATGTTATGGGAAGTATAAAATAATGTTTAATGTACAAAAGTAAAATTGACTGGTAGTAAATATGGTGTTTAATAAAATTTTAGTAAGTAATAATGATTACAAAAAAAGTGAAAAAGTAATGTTTATTTCATTCAATATTGCACTGGTAGTTATACTAGAGGTTATATGGCAGTACAAGGTAATTAAGAGTACTCTAAGATAGTAAATGTGGTATTAAAACAGATAAAAGTAATTAGACAAGTATTTTTTTTATTTTTTATTATCACACCGGCCGATTCCCACCAAGGCAGGGTGGCCCGAAAAAGAAAAACTTTCACCATCATTCACTCCATCACTGTCTTGCCAGAAGGGTGCTTTACACTACAGTTTTTAAACTGCAACATTAACACCCCTCCTTCAGAGTGCAGGCACTGTACTTCCCATCTCCAGGACTCAAGTCCGGCCTGCCGGTTTCCCTGAATCCCTTCATAAATGTTACTTTGCTCACACTCCAACAGCACGTTATTAAATGTCAAAAATGTTAAGAGTAAATTGAAATTATAGTAAAAATGATAATTATTAATTTTAGTAAGTAATATCAATTGATAGTATTTAAAAAATATGAGGTAGTAATATGGACAGAGAAAGTATCAATTCAGCTAATGTAAAGATGATGTGATCAGTCCATCAACCTTCTAGTAGCAGTTTGAGGTGGTTAATCCTTCTGCCTAGAGATATGTTTAGTTTCATGGTCTTCAAAAATGTGAAGCTGAAGCATGAAAATGGAGCCATTATAGTGCCAGAGGTGAGATGCAGAGAATGGAGGTGACGTCACAGGAAATTGAGCCCACTAGTAGAAGTAAAAATTAAAGAACACTTCAGCAAGTTTACTGGCCAATTATTATTACATTCATGGGGGAGTGCTAATCCCATAGGAGTCATATAAGCCTGTGGGAATGAAAGCCATTCAGACTCAATTCCTTAGATCAGGAGCCTGCCAATAGCATCAAGGAGCCTCCCTTGAGAGACTACTGGCCAATGCTAGGCAGGTCCTCAAATACAACTCTTCTCACTTATAATTAGTGATTGGGCAATGAAGTGTAGATGTCCTCTCTACCAAGATATCATTATGTTCATACAGAGGTCATCAAACTTAATATGTATTTGCAAGCCCTCCAAAAATATTGAAAAAATAAGAACCTCTCAAACAATTTTGACTGGTGGTAGAACCAAAATTATAAACTTATCATTCAGAATTGCTGAGTAAAATATTTAGTTTGTATTAATTTGACAGGATATGACATCTGGGAGGAGCAGGGATGGAGCCGTTGCTTGGGCCTCAATCTCCGGAATAATCAAGCTCAGTACCCAAGAAGCCACTGAAGCAAGTATGACAAATACCTTTATGTGCTTTTTTCTCTTATGATATTTAGTTTTTTCATATTACTGTATTTTCTTTACTTACTGTAAGTTCATTATGAAACATTACTATATCATTCAAACCAACTTATGCAATTCCTTTGCATATAAATAATTTTTCTTATATCTCACTTTATGGAAATTGCAAAGATTTTTATTAATAATAGTCAACTAAAGTTTTTTCATGTGTAAAAAATTAGTTTTTAATAATTTTAGTAATTACTGTATTTTATTTTGTTTCAGGCCATCGTATTTTTGGAAATATGACTGGAGAAAGCTTTGAGTCATCGGGTGACTCGGACACAGTTGACTCCCTTTTGGTTGACTCTGGAAGTGAAGATGACAGCTTAACATTTATGTCAGCAGCTGGAACATCAGGGCCATCATTAAAACAGTGCTCAGTAGTATCTGAAGGAGCATCAATAATAGCCACAGTTCCAGGACTACAAGCTACTGCCTATTCTCTACCTTTTAAGCCCATGTCTTCTAGGTCATGCATTCGTCCTCCTTCAGCTCGATTAAAATCTAGCCAAAAAGGAATAAGGGTGAGCAGCTTGACAGCTTGGACAAGCGTGAAAGGAAGTGACCGTGTATCTCCTTTGTCAGCATCAGAGGACAACAGTGATGATGCTTTTTAAGTCTAGACTTGCCATGATCAAACATTTGTGTACAAACAAATTACTGGTGTAATTTGCTGCATATTTTAAGTTTTACTATGAAAGAAGTGATGGTATTGAATCATTTCAAATTGAGTAGAGTATATTAAAATGGATCTTCCTTATGTAACAAAGATGTTAAGTGTTCTTGCAAGTAAACTATTGTTTGTATTTTTTTAATCAAAATAATTTCTTGTCATTAGATATAAAGAGTAAATAAAAGTAAATTTTCAGATATATTTCGGAAACCATAATGCACTCGCATCTATATTTGAAATATATTTTTACATATGTTCAAATGAAGTTATTAAAATTGTAAACAATGTATGATAGTGAATAGTTTAAAGATTTACATTGCAGCTGAAGGATTATTATGATTAGGCTCTAAATTCATAGGGATCATACAGTGCCTCAGGAATGGGAGGTACCATAATAAGGTTTGATCCTAGGAACGGAAGAGTAACTCAAATCAATCAATACTGTACCATCAAAGCACCTTCCATAAAGGACAGAATACAGGGAGTAAGATACTGATAAGGTTATTGAGCAGATATTGTTAAGACATTATTATTATTACCATAATCTTGGAGAAGTGCTAAACCCTGCTGTCACTAAATGACAGCAGGGTAGAGAATGCAAAAAAAAATTTTCATTCCATCGGAAGGCCATACAGACCAACTGACAGGGTGACCCAAAAAGAAAGAAAAATACTTTCATCATTCAACACTTTCACCATCACTCATACATAATCACTGTCTTTGCAGAGGCACCCAGGTACGACAGTTCAGAAGTCCCTCCAAACTGCCAGTATCCCAAACCCCTCCTTTAAAGTGCAGGCATTGTACTTCCCATTTCCAGGACTCGAGTCCGGCTAACCTGTTTCCTTGAATCCCTTCACAAAATATTACCCTGCTCATGCTCCAACAGCTCATCAGGTTCTAAAAATCCTTTGTCTCCATTCACTCCTATCTAACATGCTCATGCATGATTGCTGGAAGTCCAAGCCCCTCGCCCACAACACCTTTACCCCCTCCCTCCAACCTTTTCGGGGCTGACCCCTACCCCTTCCACTACAAATTTATACGCTTTCCAAGTCATTCCACTTTGTTCCATTTTCTCTAAATGACCAAACCATCTCAACAGCCCCTCTTCAGCCCTCTGACTAATACTTTTAGTAACTCCACACTTCCTCCTAATTTCCACACTACTAATTCTCTGCATAATATTTACACCACACACATCACACTTAGACACATCTCCACTGCCTCCAGCCGCCTTCTCACTGCAGCATTTATAACCCATACTTCACACCCACATAATAGTGTTGGTACCACTGTACTCTTGTACATTCCCTTCTTTGCCTCCATGGATAATGTTTTTTTTTGTCTCTACAGATACCTCAATGCACCACACACCTTTTTTCCTTCATCAATTCTATGGTTAACCTTATCCTTCATAAACCCATCCACTGACAAGTCATCTCCCAAATATCTGAAAACATTCACTTCTTCCATATTCCCTCCCTCCCATGTGATATCCAATTTTTCATAATCTAAATTGTTTGATACCCTGATTATTTTACTTTTATCTATGTTCACTTCAAGTTTCTACCTCTACACACCCTCCCAAACTTGCCCACTAACCTTTGTAACTTTTCTTTAGAATCCCCCAAAAGCACAGTATCATCAGCAAAAAAGGAACTGTTTCAACTCCCATTTTGTATTTGATTCTCCATAATTTAATCCCATCTCTCTCCCTAACCCCCTAGCAATTACTTTTTACAATCCCATTTATAAATATGTTAAACAACCATGGTGACATTACACATCCCTGTCTAAGACCTACTTTTACTGGGAAGTAATCTCTCTCTCCTACACATATAACATCACATCTAAACTGTGTCCAGCCTCCTTGCTGCAGTAAAGTCCTATTTAATCCCTTCAGGGTCCAAAGCCAAAATCTGAAGTGGTGCTCCAGTGTCCAAGAAATTTTGAAAAAAAAAAAAAAATTATTTTTTCTTACAGAATTAAAGAGTATATTTTTGTGAAGGTAATAAGAATTTTTTTTTTTCTGATCAGTACTTACCGAGATACAGCGGCGGGATGTTGACCCAAAATGACCGGGTGTCAGCAATATCAGTGACTTCCGCAAAATCCCATTTTTTTATTTTACGTTTTTTATACTTCTTTCTATTCTTTTCTAAATTTTTTCTTTTTCTAATAACATTTGTGGCCTGTGAGACCAGTATAATGTATATTGTATAAGTGTACACTCATTGTATTAAACACAATAACTGCACTAATTTGTTTATCATTATATTACAAAACTTGTTTACAAGTTTATTGTAAACAAAATGATGAAAATATTAGTGCGGTTATTGTGTTGAATACAACGGTACCATATGGTACAATGACACTGATACAATAGTACCATATGGTACAATGGCACATGATACAATGGTACCATGATACAGTGGCACCATTTGGTACAATGGTACCATATGATACAACAGTACCATATGGTGCAATGGTACCTTATGGTACCATATGGTGTAATGGTACCATATGATGCAATGGTAAGATATGGTACATTGTACCATACAGTACAATGATACCATATTGCAATTGTACCATATGGTACAATGCAATATGATGTAATGGTACCATACAGTACAATACCATATTGCAATTGTACAATATGGTACAATGGCACATGATACAATGGTACCATATGGTACAATATGGTACAATGGCACATGATACAATGGTACCATATGGTACAATGGCACCATTTGGTACAATGGCACCATTTGGTACAATGGTACCATATGGTGCAATGGTGCCTTATGGTACCATATGATGCAATGGTACCATATGGTACATTGTACCATACAGTACATTGATATCATATGGTACTGTTGTATTCAACACAATAAACACACTAATATTTTCATTATTTTGTTTAAAATAGTTGTTTACAACAAAAATATGCAAAAATGTTACATATTAGTAATGTTCTATTATACATTTACAAGTGTACAGGAACCTGACGTGTTCCTTGAGGTGGATGACAAAGCACTTTGTCTGGGAAACTGTGGAGTCAGTAGCTAGCTTGAGTCACCACTCACTCAGTCTTGGCTGGTGTCTCATGCCACCAACACCTATTGACCATATGGTACACGGTATCATATGTTACAGGGTACCATATGGTACATTGTACTATATGGTATAGGGTACCATGCAGTACAGGATAACATATGGTGCAGGGTGCCATATGGTACAGGGTACCATATGGTACAGGGTTACCATAAGGCACAGGGTGCCATATGGTACAGAGTACCATACAGTACAGAACACCATATGGTACAGATACAGGGATAACTATGGAAATAAGTCACCTTGACTTTTTTGGGTTATCCTAGGATTTTATACGTATGCTGCTATTTATGATAATCTATGTAATTGTATTTCTGTAAACCTGAATAAACTTACTCAAGTGCATGTGGCATCATAAGTAAGTTTATTTAGGTATACACAAATAAAGTTACATAGAATATCATACTTAGCAGCATATGTTTGGAGAACCTAGGATAACCCAAAAAAGTCAGACTTGTTTCCATTAGGGTCCCTGTACCCTGTACCATATGGTATAATGTACCATATGGTACAATGTACTATATGATACATTGTACCATATGGTACCACTCTACCATACGATATTGTACCATATGGCACAATGGTACCATGTGGTTCAAAACCATAGAATTCGTCATCTCCACTTCCATCAGTCTTAGAACTGTAAGTTGTGAAGAGGAGAGTCAGAATTCGCCCTGAGAGTGAGTGGGGAGTGAGAGCTTCCTTGCTGCCAGGCACAATGAACAAAGCTACTTTGCCGGTGTTCCCACAATGCCATGCGGGCGTCCAGATTATTTCTATGGTGTGCACACTGACCACCCAGACCCATTCTCTCAGATGTAGGCCTACCAGCCTTCTTGAGCTAAATTTGACGTCGCTAGAATTTTGGCGTAGATTTATGGTTTGGACCCTGAACGTAAAGCCATAGATCTACGGGATGGACCCTGAAAGGGTTAACATAGGCTTATATTTCTAAAAATTGGCATGTACACTAGTACCACATTACATACAAGGAAAACATGGAAAAGATAGTCTGCATACATCTGTTACTTGGCTAGGTTAGGTTTGTTAGGAAACAGGACAAGTTTCCTGATGTGGGTCTTAGTCATATGATGACCTGCAGTTGGAGCTTTTGGTCATCTGGCCAAGGCCTGCTGGCTTCCTGGTCCACCCTTTTAAAAATTATGGTTATGATTACAACCATTAGATAGATTAGATACTGTTCCTTTTATCATTTACTGTGTGTGTGGGGGGGGGCTGATGTGAGCCTACTGGGCTGAAGTGAATGGAACATGCGAGAGTAGCATGTCTGTCTTACACTTAGTGGGCCATTGATTGAGCCTGCCCCACTCTGTGCTGAATGACCTACAATGGGGTCATTCAGTCAACCATACCATGGTTCTTATGTTGTTGATGATGGACAGATTTAGGTATTGTACTGTATTATGTTTATGGGAAAGCTATCAGTAGCTGATGGTCCTATTGAAGTGGTCCGGTATTTATCTCTGGTCAGTTATGTCCTACATTACTTCGTAGAGCTGATGATATGGCATCATTGCTTGTTCAGAGCTTTCTTCAGAATGATTCTTCTCTCCACATCAAGATAATTCTCAGTGAAAAACCTGTAAATTAGCAAATAAAAATTTTCTCGTATATCTCTTGCAGAGATGACTTTTTCCTCATTTTCAGGTTCTTTTTTCTCATCCTTGTCTACCTGCTTTTCTCTTTCATGAGATTTATATGCCTCCAGCAATTTTTCTGCAGTTGGCTTTGTCATCTAACACTTCATTTACCTCTTCCTGCATATTCTCAAAATGCCTGCCTTTCAGTCATTATTACAGTGTCCTGTACTTGACTCATTACTGAAGGAAAAAACTAGAATAATTATTTATCTCAGGGCAATAATTTCCCCAGCTGGCATTTATATTTGATATGGGCACTTCATCCCATGACACACTCATGCAAGTGCCTTTGTAAATTTAAAATTACACCATAATTAAGTCAAACCAATTTTAGGGTGGTGTCAATTGCTTCAGGATGATTAAGGAAATTATCAAGATTAAGAACCTTGAGTGAAAGGTTCTTTCTGAATACATATATACATTTTCACTTCAGAAATCAAGATGGTTTTGAACCATTCATCAAACAGGGTGCCAATTATCCATGCATCCTTGTTTAACAACCACTGAATGGATAAAGTGCCTTTATCTGTACTTTTAAGGCACTAAGATTCTCTGCATGATAAGCATGGGCTTGCACTTTAATTTAATCACTGCACTGGTGAACAGAAGCGATCTTTGGCTGTTTTGAAAGCAGGTGCAAATCATTCCTGCTAGCTAATACAGATTGACCATCACTAATCCACCCCTGTAGGGTGCCAGATTACAGAGTGGTTAGGTTAGAATACACTTAACGGAACGGCGATATTTACACATCAGCAATTTTGCCCACTTTACGCCCTATTTTTGCCCCATTCCATTGTTCGTCTACCAAACTCATAGCTATTTTACTAGTATTCCTTCTATTTTGTCGATTTCAACTACCCAATATAGTAAGAAATTGATAATTTGGCCAATGTCACACAAATATCAAGAGATACCAATTTCAAAATAGGGTCTAGAATAAACAATGCAGACATTCCTAGCACTGAAATAACATTTTCTTTTTTCATTTGTCACGTCTCCAGGCCCATCTTATATTACGCTTGCTTTCCGTTTTGAATTTTTATTCACACAAAAAATAGAATATTTACTGTTATGCAGACTACTGCATTATTGTAATAATTGTATAAATAATGTCAACCCATTCATGACTGTATATTAGACTGGCAAGTTGGACATGTATTGGACAGTGACGTCATTTGTTTACTCTTGAACATCAGCAAAAATCGAACATTTCCGCTACTTTGAGCTCAGTTTTAAGGTACTTTCTGGTGTAATACCAATCAAAATTCCATTTCTGTAATATATCTTCCATTCTATCAAATGAGACCAAAAAAACGAGAATACAACCGTACAAACTACGTACATGAAAATACACCTCAGAGTCGCTGTTTTTTCTCATTATACACTACATGCTGCAGGTTTTTTTTTTATATATATAGTACACACTTACCACGCAGACCTATTCTCTCTTATGTAGGCCCAATTTTACCAGTCACAGCTTATCCGAGTGAGCTGAGTTCATGGTGACCGACAGTGGCTTCAAGCTACCTTATCTTTTATGGACAAAGTACAGTGTATGTACTTTACACAATGAGAAGCATTTCTTTTATTCATTGGAACCATGGCTAGGGCTAAAAGTGAGTAGGTTATAACAATAAATAGAGAAAAAGAAATTGGAATGACTTGTGCAGCAAGTAGCGCCACCAAACACGAACGGCAGGTTGGTGTGGTGACACCAGAAATTTGAAATCATGCTAGCCAAAATTAGTGCTGGATTACTGATGGAACCAGATTACTAGTAGACTGCCAGATTAGTGATGGCCAACCTGTACTACACTTGAGTAGGATTGTAACTATCACCTATAATCTTATTAAAGTCAGCAGAGTAGCTTTTTGCAGCTATAGGATCAACTGACACACACACAATGGAAAAAACTGATGAATGAAGGCCACATCATGAGCTATGATAGCAAACACATGCCTAACCCAAAACAGGTAGCATAGGCTCAGCTCCTCATGAGGGGGATCCTCGGAAAGTTCAACAAATTTAACATTAAGACTTGATAGGATGTTTGGAATATCCATATGCAAACCTGAATCCCCAAGTCAAGCTGAAGTTCCAACAAGTGCAGAAGGAAAGATCAGGCTAATGAGTAGATATGACAGCAATACTCAAATTATATTAAAAACATACTATAAACCTGTATGGGTCATACAGCACTGCAGATAAGGGTGTGCAAGGGATAGGAGCTAGTGGAAGAGGGAGTAGTAGTCTAAGTACAAAACTGAAGTCAAAGGTGATGCAATAGGTTAGTTTCTGCCAAAAAATTAGTCTGCCTTAATTAAAAATGGAACCATTGGCAAGGAGGTGAGTGCAACAGGGCACTGTAGATGGAAGCAACTTCTGTGAGCTTTCTGATCAACAGGACAGTTTATTAAGAAAATGGCAAACTAATAGTGTACACAAATGCTAGGTGTTCCTCTACATGGTGTCTGTGTGCTGTAGTGCCGTGTAGAGTTGTGCGTGTCTGATTCAGAATGGGGAATGTAGTTTCCAATACCTGACAGCTGTAAGAAAAAAATTACTAGGAATCCATTAGTGGTCTGATAAAAAGAATCTCTATACTAACTCAGACTTAATGTTGTTGCCAGTGGTTTTGAAATTATTGAAAGGCTAATGGAAAATAGTCTGACTAAGCAGCTGAGTCTGCATGTTTATGGCCCTGAAAACAAGCATGTCCAAGGAACCCAGCAAACAAGACTTTCATGTTTCCTGGAATTTTTTTATTTGCATGCCATTTTTAAGAACATAACTATTCTGTTAAATGACAGTCAACTGTATTTACTTTATAAACTAGAAAAGGTTATCTTTTAATATGCAGTATGTGCTTTTACTATTAACATATCGCAAACTGCGCCAAACACATACGTGCCATAACTGCTGCAAGGCTAAGAGGAGCTATGATAAAGGGAAGTTGCATGAAGGGTGAACACGGAAAGTCATAGTTGGCATAAAAATTCAGTTTGTCAAAAATCATGAAAGGTGTGTTATTTACTTTTATAAGATACATTAGTTATCTAATGTAGACTAATTCATTCGCTCCCACTCTGCTACTGCACAGGTCTCACTATTATTAACCCTTTGAGGGTCGACAGGCCCTCTCCGAAACTCGTTCTCAGGGTCGGCCAAATTTAAAAAAAAAAAAAAATTATTTTCTCTTATGAAAAGATAGAGAATCTTTTCCCGATCATAAAGACACCAAAAGTTTGAAATTTGATAGAAAACTTACGGAATTATGCTCTCGCAAAGTTAGCGGTCTCGGCGATGTTTACGCATCGGCGATTTTGCCCACTTTGAGCCCCATTTTTGGCCAATTTCACTGTACTAGTCGACAAAAAACATGAATATTCCGCTAGAACTCCATTTTTTCTATCGAATGAGTGCAAGAAACCACCCATTTATAAATTCAACTATCCAGTACATTGGTCAGAATTTAGCAATTTTGCCAATTTCACACAAATTTCAAAAGATGCCAATTTCCGAATAGGGTCCAGAATAAACAAGAAAGACATTCCTGGCACTAAAATGACATTTCCTCTAGTCATTAGTCACGTCTCAAGGCCCCTCTTATATTCTTTTTCTTTCCACTTTGAATTTTTATTCTCACAAAAAATATAAGATTTACTGTTATGCAGACTACTGCATTAGTATAAAAAATGGTATAAATATTATTGGTGCACTTGTGAAAGAATATTAGACTCACCAGTTGACGTGTATTGCATGCTCGGCACGATTTGTTTACTTTTGAAGTTTGGTAAAAATCGAACATTTCTGCTACTTTGAGCTCAATTTCAAGGCACCTTTCATTGTAAAACCAGTCAAAATCATCTCAATTTCTGTAATATGTCTTCCATTCTATAAAATGAGACCAAGAAAACTAGAATACAACAATAAATACCATACGAAAATACACTGCAAAGCCGCTGATTTATTAAAAAAAAACGGTAAAAGTTTTTTTTTTTTCATTATGCACTGTGTGCTGCAGGATTTTTTTTAGACTGTGCACACTGACCACATAGACCCATTCTTTCATATGAAGGCCTATCAGCTTTCTCCCAATAGATTTGAGGCCGCTAGAATTTATGAGTACTAGTACGTCAAAACCCCCTACGCGTAAGACGTACTAGTACGACGAAAACCCTCAAAGGGTTAAAAGGCTGTCAGTCATATCACTCGCTGCCATTTTTTAAAACTATCCATGAGTGGGTGACCAAATACAAAATATTCATCATATATGTATTTAAAAAAACAATTTTTTTTATAGTTTCCTGAAGAAATTCACAGCAAGTACAGGTGAAATTAAAAAAGAAAAAATTACATATAAATACATGTGAAGGCTTACTCAGCCCTGTAATAACTTCAGACAGTATTACCAAGGCTGGCTCCTCCTCAGGAAAATTAATGAATAGGAAAAGAAATAATAACAAACATAAATACTTTATTATATAGAATATATAAAATATAAAACACTTAAATATGAAATATTAATCCTACATTAAAGAAAATTAAAAATTAAAAATATAAATGATAACTGAATTCAACGCTAATATAAAACTTGGGTGTCTGGTGTTGGTGACACTGCTTGTTGAAATCGTAGCCGTTGCCGATGATGGGGGGGGGGTCGCAGGTGTTGGTTACAACCCACTGGCTAGTTCTTCACAGTATAGCCTTGAGTATTCTATCCCGATGACAGGAAAGCAGGTTCTTTACTGCTGCAATGATGAGGGGTTACGTCCTGCAATTTCATACAGGTGCACAGGTAATTAAATCCAAAAAGGGGAAGTCTCAGGATGTTAGTCCATCTCCATCAGTTCTGCTCGTTGATTGGCAGGTGACCCTCTCTGTCATCCAAGCTGGAAAGATAGACAGGTTACCCACTGCTTAAGAAATCACTCTCCATGATAAGTACAATACCTAAAAGATGTGGTGATTATTACAACAGTCAACTTAGAGCAAGACTGAAAGGACTAAGTTTATTATTGGTCAAAAGTGAAGCTTTTAACCAATAAATCCACTAGAATACAAGGCAGGCATGTACTTACAGTAGTGCTGGGAGCTGTGAGTCTAGTGATTACTGTTTGGACCAGAGCCCTACACGTCACCTTTTGGGGGGGGGAGAAGGAGGGGAAGGGATAGCGGGAGCTAGACTGACCCTACCTTAACAAGCAGCCGGCAGTCAAACTATCACTTTCGGGGTGGGGGAAAAAAGGCGGGAATAGCGGGAGCTTGACTTGCCCTACCTTAACAAGTAGCCGGCAATGAAACTCTTGTTACTATATACTCCCTCGCTACTCCTATCTATTGAACTTTTCCCTCACAATACACAAGGAAACATATTATAAACATTCATAACAAGGCTTTTGTATGGAGATATAAAAGGGCCATTAATGAGCAAAGAATTACTCCTCTCTTTTACTTCCTTATAAGAGTACTACTGTGCAGCAAGAAAGTATCTCTTACTTCTTTACAACAGCACTACCATGAAGCAAGAAAGTACCTCTCTTACTTCCTTATAACAGCATTACAATGAGGGTATCTTTCTTATAACAGTACTACCATGGGGTACCTTCCTTATAGCAGTGCTACCATGAAAGTACCCTTCTTATAACAGTGATACCATAAAGGTACCTTATAACAATACTACCATGAAGGTACCTTTCTTATAGCAGTGCTACCATAAAGGTATCTTTCTTATAACAGTACTACCATGAAGGTACCTTTCTTATAGCAGTGCTACCATGAAGGTATCTTTCTTATAACAGTACTACCATGGGCTGCTTCATTAGTACCAAACACAATATACATTTGTTTTCATTTCTTATTTTAATATTAAGCCAGTATTTCCCTGTACTACAATTTAGATCACCATACTCATCTTTATGCAGTATACTGCCTCTCACCCAACACACACAGTTGCTTATCTTACACAATACACACATCATACATACCTTGACAAAGCTCATTGCCTCATTGTACACAATTACGCATCTTTACAGAGCTTACTGCATCAGTATACATAGTTAATCATCTTTATAGAGCTCTATGTCTTACACACCATACATACTGGATTGTAATGCTAGTTCCATCTAACTTCTTCAAGTCATGAGCATCTTTTTTAAATAATGCAATGTAAAGTAGACACTTGTGCTTAAATTTCTTTAGAAACATTTCCTCAGAGGCAATGCTAAATGGCCCATATGGGTTTAGTACAATTTTGTGAGTATATTAAGAATTTTCCTAGGTAGTATGTTGGTAGACAGAAACCGCCCAGGGAGGTACTACCGTCCTGCCAAGTGAGTGTACAACGAAAACCTGTAATTGTTTTACATGATGGTAGGATTGCTGGTGTCTTTTGTCTGTCTCATAAACATGCAAGATTTCAGGTACGTCTTGCTACTTATACTTACACTTAGGTCACACTACACATACATGTACAAGCATATATATACACACCCCTCTGGGTATTCTTCTATTTTCTTTCTAGTTCTTGTTCTTGTTTATTTTCTCTTATCTCCATGGGGAAGTGGAACTGAATTCTTCCTCCGTAAGCCATGCATGTCATAAGAAGCGACTGAAATGCCGGGAGCAAGGGGCTAGTAACCCCTTCTCCTGTATATATTACTAAATTTGAAAGGAGAAACTTTCGTTTTTCCTTTTGGGCCACCCTGCCTCGGTGGGATACGGCTGGTACGTTGAAAGAAAGAAAGATTAAGAATTTTATGATGGAGATATATTTTGCATATTTATCATTACAAAGCTCTTGTTCAAATTTTATTACACCATCTGTAATGTTTATTTACCTTGAAAATCATTTACTTATTGATGAGGATTCTGTGGTATAAGTTTTGAAAATACATAAAGATGTATCAATAAATAAATGATGTCTAATAATTTTAATAAAAATATTACAGTATTTCAAAAAATCTTAATACTATAGTGAGACACTTGCTACGTTCCAATAAAAACCTGCACTTAGGAAGCTTATGACCTGATGATGGTCCAGGAGTGAGACAAGGGTCGTCACAAGCTTCTTCTCTTAGTCTGGGTTTTTGGTGAACTGTTCCAGCCACCATTGCCACTTTATATTCTTTATTTGCTATATTCATGTGGAAGATATGTTTATTTTAGGTGTATTCATGAACTACAAGATACAATACATTGGAAGGTTGTTACAGGTTTACAGGTACACACTAAATAACACAATGGTGAAAATTGTAGGTGGTATAGCAGTGTCAAAGTATAATTCTCTAGCCACACTAATTTTTAATATTGCAAATCATAAACCGCACTTCAGGAAAAAAAAAAAAAAAAAATTACTTCCCTAAATTACTGCATAAATGTACTAAAATTGAATTGTTACAAATATATTATAAGCACTGTAAAGTGAGTAAGTATATTATGAAACATTAAAAAGCACTAATGATACAATGCCTTACCAAGTGTGAGACCCAACTGCTTGCTTCTCTAATTAACACTGTACTAATAACAGCTCTTAAATAATATGGTTGTGTATACAATCACCGTCCTTCCAACTGTTTGTCCCTGGTTAAGACAGTGTCATCAAACTTGATCATGAATGTTGTGCCTTTATGCCACAGTGCTGTCACTTTTGCTGGCTGCAAAGAAGAGACATAATAATAGCCAGAATAGATATCATTATTGAGCATATATAAAGTTAAACTTTTGAATAACTATTCCCCTCAAGGAAGGTTCCTTGATGTTGGTGAGGGGCTCTTGATTTAGGGAATTGGATCTGTGCTCCAGTTCCCCAAATTAAGCCTGAATGCCTTCCACATCCCCCCCCCCCAGGCGCTGTATAATCCTCTGGGTTTAGCGCTTCCCCCTTGATTGTAATAATAATAATAATTGAATAACTATTGAATCTCAACATACAGTAGTTTGGTATACATTCTGAAAAAAGCGAGTGAGTGAGTATGAGTGTGTGTGGAGTGAATGTGAGAGTATGAGAGTGAGTGTGAGAGTATGAGTGTGTGTGAGTGTGAGAGAAAGAGTATGTGAGAAAGAATGAGAAAGTTTGAGAGTGAATTAAAGTGTGAGAGCATGAGTGCAAAAGTGTGAGCATGTGTGCACATACACACACAAGTGCATGCAAGCATGTATTCATATACTCCAAGATTTGTGCGTATGGGTCAATTTTAGCTGGTGTGTCTGCTTCTGAAGCTTCATCCAGCAGCATTATTGACGTCTGGTCTGAGCTCTCTTATACTTACTCTTAGAACTATGTTATTAATTTGTCTGCACAACTCTGACATCTAGTTCAATCTAATTTCCATACTACCCTGAGATTAAAAAAGTATTTCCTGGCATCCCTGTGACACATCAGTGTCTTTATCTAATGTCCCCTTTTATTCAATCCTTGCACATAAACAATCCGCTCCTTTCCACCTTATCAATTTCTCTGAGTACAGTACAGCCTCTCCTCAATGACGGAGTTCCATTCCTAGGACCACATCAGTAAACGAATTCGTCACTAAGTGAGAAGTATACTATAGTGGTAGTGGGCTTGTGTCAACCATCTTTGATATTGTTTTAATGTCACCTATGCACCATTTGTAACGTTTCTGGTATACTGTATTTTTAAACATTTATACAGTAGTGTACTGTACATTGTAGTAAACAAAACAGAGGAAATCAGCTCTAATATACATTACTGAGGTATGCATACCGGCCCGTCATAAGTCCGAGTCATCAGTAAACTAGTACTTCACTAAGTGAGGAGAGGCTGTATTTTGTGTATCATAACTGGCCCCTTCTGATCCCCACTGCTCTTCAATTCCTGTAGTATATTTTTTGAAGGAATGATTGACCCTCAAACATATGATCCAGAATCCACTTACCACTACTGGCTAAAATACAGAATCAACTTTACTCCAGGTATTGTTGGTAGATGTGCTAGTATCATCAGCTACAAGATTTTATAATATTTCTCTCAAAACTAACAATCTTTTTTTAAACAATCCAACTTTTAGCCCTCTAAGACATGTTTTTAATCTATCCTCATGGTCCATTCATCTCAGCTGTAGGACCTCAAGGGAGGTTCCGTGAAGCCAGTGAGGGGCTACTGATCCAAGAAAATGGACATGCTCTCCTCTTGGATCAAACATGAGCACCTCCTATTTCCCAGGCACTGTATGAATTCTGCAGGTTTAGCACTCTCTTCCTAAATATAATAATAATCAGCTGTGAGACTAGTCATGTGGCAAACCTTTACACCTTTTTAAGATGCAAAGGTCTGTTGAAATTCCTGAGTGCAATTCTGAGAATTACTCGCCTCATTTAGGTTGCCAAAGTCATGGTTTGTGCACTCTCCTGGTGTTATGCTTACTTCTAAGTCTTTTTCTTTCATCAATACTTGTAGTTTCTTTCCTCCCAATCCATACTCAGTCTCCAGTCACCTCTCTTCTTCCTCGAACTTTATGAACTTCAGCAGCCATTTCTTTGACAGCCTCTGTAATGTATATAACTTTACCTGGAGAGCCTCACTGTCGTCTACTGTAACCTATATAACTCCCTGAAATCCTCACTGTTCTCTTCTGTAACCTATATACCTTCCTGAAATGATCACTATTCTCTCCTGTAATTTATATAACTTCCTGAGATCCTCACTGTCCTCTTCTATAACCTATATACCTCCCTGAAATCCTCACTGTCCTCTCCTGTAACCTATATAACTCCCTGAGATCCTCACTGTCCTCTTCTGTAACCTATATAACTCCCTGAAATCCTCACTGTCCTCTCCTGTAACCTATATAACTCCCTGAGATCCTCACTGTTCTCTCCTGTAACCTATATAACTTTCTGAGATCCTCGCTGTCTTCTCCTATAACCTATATAACTCCCTGAGATCCTCACTGTTTTCTCCTGTAACCTATAAAACTCCCTGAGATCCTTACTGTCCTCTCCTGTAACCTATATAACTCCCTGAGATCCTCACTGTTCTCTCCTGTAACCTATATAACTCCCTGAGATCCTCATTGTCCTCTCCCATAACCTATATAACTCCCTGAGATCCTCACTGTTCTCTCCTGTAATTTATATAACTCCCTGAAATCCTCACTGTTTTCTCCTGTAACCTATATAACTCCCTGAGATCCTCATTGTCCTCTCCTGTAACCTATATAACTCCCTGGGAGCCTCACTATTCTCTCCTGTAACCTAAATAACTCCCTGAGATCCTCACTGTTTTCTCCTGTAACCTGTATAACTCCCTGCAATCCTCACTGTCCTCTCCTGTAACCTATATAACTCCCTGAGATCCTCACTGTTCTCTCTTGTAACCTATATAACTCCCTGAGATCCTCGCTGTTTTCTCCTGTAACCTATATAACTCCCTGAGATCCTCATTGTCCTCTCCTGTAACCTATATAACTCCCTGAGAGCCTCACTGTTATTTTTTTTTTTTTTTTTTTTTTATTATCACACCGGCCGATTCCCACCAAGGCAGGGTGGCCCGAAAAAGAAAAACTTTCACCATCATTCACTCCATCACTGTCTTGCCAGAAGGGTGCTTTACACTACAGTTTTTAAACTGCAACATTAACACCCCTCCTTCAGAGTGCAGGCACTGTACTTCCCATCTCCAGGACTCAAGTCCGGCCTGCCGGTTTCCCTGAATCCCTTCATAAATGTTACTTTGCTCACACTCCAACAGCACGTCAAGTATTAAAAACCATTTGTCTCCATTCACTCCTATCAAACACGCTCACGCATGCCTGCTGGAAGTCCAAGCCCCTCGCACACAAAACCTCCTTTACCCCCTCCCTCCAACCCTTCCTAGGCCGACCCCTACCCCGCCTTCCTTCCACTACAGACTGATACACTCTTGAAGTCATTCTGTTTCTCTCCATTCTCTCTACATGTCCGAACCACCTCAACAACCCTTCCTCAGCCCTCTGGACAACAGTTTTGGTAATCCCGCACCTCCTCCTAACTTCCAAACTACGAATTCTCTGCATTATATTCACACCACACATTGCCCTCAGACATGACATCTCCACTGCCTCCAGCCTTCTCCTCGCTGCAACATTCATCACCCACGCTTCACACCCATATAAGAGCGTTGGTAAAACTATACTCTCATACATTCCCCTCTTTGCCTCCAAGGACAAAGTTCTTTGTCTCCACAGACTCCTAAGTGCACCACTCACTCTTTTTCCCTCATCAATTCTATGATTCACCTCATCTTTCATAGACCCATCCGCTGACACGTCCACTCCCAAATATCTGAATACGTTCACCTCCTCCATACTCTCTCCCTCCAATCTGATATTCAATCTTTCATCACCTAATCTTTTTGTTATCCTCATAACCTTACTCTTTCCTGTATTCACCTTTAATTTTCTTCTTTTGCACACCCTACCAAATTCATCCACCAATCTCTGCAACTTCTCTTCAGAATCTCCCAAGAGCACAGTGTCATCAGCAAAGAGCAGCTGTGACAACTCCCACTTTGTATGTGATTCTTTATCTTTTAACTCCACGCCTCTTGCCAAGACCCTCGCATTTACTTCTCTTACAACCCCATCTATAAATATATTAAACAACCACGGTGACATCACACATCCTTGTCTAAGGCCTACTTTTACTGGGAAAAAATTTCCCTCTTTCCTACATACTCTAACTTGAGCCTCACTATCCTCGTAAAAACTCTTCACTGCTTTCAGTAACCTACCTCCTACACCATACACTTGCAACATCTGCCACATTGCCCCCCTATCCACCCTGTCATACGCCTTTTCCAAATCCATAAATGCCACAAAGACCTCTTTAGCCTTATCTAAATACTGTTCACTTATATGTTTCACTGTAAACACCTGGTCCACACACCCCCTACCTTTCCTAAAGCCTCCTTGTTCATCTGCTATCCTATTCTCCGTCTTACTCTTAATTCTTTCAATTATAACTCTACCATACACTTTACCAGGTACACTCAACAGACTTATCCCCCTATAATTTTTGCACTCTCTTTTATCCCCTTTGCCTTTATACAAAGGAACTATGCATGCTCTCTGCCAATCCCTAGGTACCTTACCCTCTTCCATACATTTATTAAATAATTGCACCAACCACTCCAAAACTATATCCCCACCTGCTTTTAACATTTCTATCTTTATCCCATCAATCCCGGCTGCCTTACCCCCTTTCATTTTACCTACTGCCTCACGAACTTCCCCCACACTCACAACTGGCTCTTCCTCACTCCTACAAGATGTTATTCCTCCTTGCCCTATACACGAAATCACAGCTTCCCTATCTTCATCAACATTTAACAATTCCTCAAAATATTCCTTCCATCTTCCCAATACCTCTAACTCTCCATTTAATAACTCTCCTCTCCTATTTTTAACTGACAAATCCATTTGTTCTCTAGGCTTTCTTAACTTGTTAATCTCACTCCAAAACTTTTTCTTATTTTCAACAAAATTTGTTGATAACATCTCACCCACTCTCTCATTTGCTCTCTTTTTACATTGCTTCACCACTCTCTTAACTTCTCTCTAAGCCTCACTGTTCTCTCCTGTTAATTTTTTAATGGTTTCACATTACTCGGGAAAAAAAAAAACACACACACACTAGTCCCAGAGTTAAGGGGAATGACCTACAAAGAAAGGTTAAGGGAAATCGGCCTGACGACACTGGAGGACAGGAGAGATAGGGGGGGTATGATAACGACATATAAAATACTGAGAGGAATTGACAAGGTGGACAGAGACAGGATGTTCCAGAGATGGGACACAGCAACAAGGGGTCACAATTGGAAGTTGAAGACTCAGATGAATCACAGGGAAGATAAGAAGTATTTCTTCAGTCACAGAGTTGTCAGAAAGTAGAATAGTCTGGGAAGTGATGTAGTAGAGGCAGGATCCATATATAGTTTTAAGAAGAGGTATAATAAAGCTCATGGAGCAGGAAATGTGACCTAGTAGTGACACTGAAGAGGCAGGGCCAGGACCTGTGACTTGACCCCTGCAACCACAACCAGGTCAGTGCAACTATGTGAGTACACATGAGCACACAAACACATGCATGCAAACACATGCCTGCAAACACACACATACACACACATTAACATGTATAGTATGCAGAGTCATGGAGAAGATTATCAGAAGAGTGGAGGAGCACCTAGAAAGGAACGAGCTTATCAACGACAGCCAGCACGGGTTCAGGGACAGGAAATCCTGTGTCACAAACCTACTGGAGTTCTATGACAGGGTGACAGCAGTAAGACAAGAGAGAGAGGGGTGGGTAGACTGCATTTTCTTGGACTGTAAGAAGGTGTTTGACACAGTTCCATACAAGAGATTAGTGCAAAAGCTGGAGGATCAGGTAAGGATAATAGGGAAGGCACTACAATGGATCAGGGAATACCCATCAGGAAGACAACAGCGAGTCGTGGTGCGTGGCGAGGGTTCCACAGAGGTCAGTCTTAGGACCGGTTGTTTCTGGTATTTGTGAATGACATGACAGTAGGAAAAGACTTTGAAGTGTCCCTGTTTGCAGATGATGTGAAGTTGATGAGAAGAATTAAATCAGACAAGGACCATGCAGAACTACAAAGGGATCTGGACAGGCTGCAGGTGTGGTCTGGAAACTGGCTCCTGGAATTCAACCCCACCAAGTGTACAGTCATGAAGATTGGGGAAGGGCAAAGAAGATCACATACAGAGTACAGTCTAGGGGGCCAGAGACTACAAACCTCACTAAGGAAAAGGACCTTGGGGTGAGTATAACACCAGGCACGTCTCCTGAGGTGCACATCAACCAAATAACTGCTGTAGAAAATTCTGGTGTAATTTTCTCAAACTTATATTGTATCATGTAAATATGTAATTAATGTGTTGTTGTTGTTGGTCAAAAATGTATTTGAAAGTGGAAGAGAACCAACAGAAAAGCCCTGCACATGCACTGGGTTCCAAGAAGGTAGGCCTGGGTATGCATGGGCAGTCTCGTGAAGCATAGGCTTATGACACGATATCCCCGTTAACATGGAACCAGGAAATTGGCAGTTCCGACGGCCGAAACATGATTAGTGGTCTCTCTTTATAATAGGAAGTGTTGTAACTGTTCCTGGCACATATTCTGGGACAGTAAGTTATCGAAACCGCCATAATAGGGTGGAAACAGTGGAAATTAGTGAACAACGCGATGACGCCATGACGAACGAGTTCATTGGGGAGAATATCTGACTATTCAATCAGCACTCATCGGGCTCAGATCTTAATGTATCAACCACTAACGTGTGTAAATTAATGGAACACTAAGTCATCTTGTGAACTGCAGTGAAATCAGTGATAATAACACTAAGTTAAGAGAATGTGTGAAGAGAAATGAGTCGCCCTTCTCTAAGCGAAGCACATGTAACCGTGCGGCCCTGTTCCGAGGACTACAGAAGTTTTTTGGAGTCTCCTCTTCTCAATCGGGACAACAAGGTGATATTATAGCCCTGCTGGAAGAAGAATCTTATCAATTCAGCAGGACATCTAGACAGAGGAGGAAATAAAGAAAGATAAGGGATGCTGTCCTAGGTAGTAGGTTGGTAGACAGCAACTGCCCAGGGAGGTACTACCGTCCTGCCAAGTGAGTGTAAAACGAAAGCCTGTAATTGCTTTACATGATGGTAGGATTGCTGGTGTCCTTTTTTCTGTCTCATAAACATGCAAGATTTCAGGTACGTCTTGTTACTTCTACTTACACTTAGGTCACACTACACATACATGTACAAACATATATATACACACACCCCTCTGGGTTTTCTGCTATTTTCTTTCTAGTTCTTATTCTTGTTTATTTCCTCTTTATCTCCATGGGGAAGTGGAACAGAATTCTTCCTCCGTAAGCCATGCTTGTTGTAAGAGGCGACTAAAATGCCAGGAGCAAGGGGCTAGTAACCCCTTCTCCTGTATAAATTACTAAATTTAAAAAGAGAAACTTGTTTTTCTTTTTGGGCCACCCTGCCTCGGTGGGATACAGCCGGTTTGTTGAAAGAAGAAAGAAGGGATGCTGCCTCCTCACCCACAGTTAAATAAACCTTCCGATACTATAGGACAGTGATAACTCTAGCACACCCTCTTAGGAAAACCTTACTTTCTACACCTCTCCCTCGAATGTTGACACCATGACCTGCACTGAACTCTACAAAAGCCTCGGTGCTAGAGCAGTTAAGTATGCCTGTGAATCACCTTCACTTCACACTCACCCAAGTTCTTGAGTTCATCAAGCCTCTAAGTTTCACTTTTGCCAACAGGACAAAACTATACCACCTCTCCAGGAGCAGCTTCAAGAAGTTTGTAAATGGCTTCACTGTAAACCTGCCTCCTCAACTACTACAATAACTCCCACCTGTCTGCTGCCCTCTGGTGTTCCTACCTGCCTGCCTTCTCCTGCAACCTAGAAACTGCTAGCTCTCACGACTCAAGACCTCATCTACCACTAGACTGATGCATACACAGCTTCCTCTCCAAGTCTGTCCCACGAGCACCTAGCTGCTGGGTTAAGCCCTGGCACTTTTTCTTTGACTGTGGACACTCCTCTCCACCGCTATTCTTTGCCTGTCCTGTCTTCTCAGCTCACCCCACATGAGGTCTTACCTAAACTCTCTTGATCTTGATCTTGAAGAAGATTAAATGTACAATTTAACTACTGAATTTTGCCCATTATTTTAAAAGTCTGTTATATTGAGGTTGGTTAACTCAAGGGTTTACTCTACGTAATAACAAATAACTGATTTCCCCAGCAAACAAATATACATACAAACCTACCCATAAACATAGGCACAGAAAGAAGAAGAGAAGAATGAGTAAACTTACAAATCCTGTGGCATTAAGGACAGACTCAATAATGCCAGCTATAAATGCAGCACAATTGATGGAGCTTTTGTCTCGTGGCACAGATATGAATCGGTTGACTAATGGTTCTTTTTCTATCAAGTAGTATATGCGCTCATCATCTGTTGCTCGGTCCAGCTTGTCTGCCTCTTTCCCAAATAGTGACTGAAAACAAAAAAATTTAATGAATATGTGTCACCTGCATTGAAGAACAATCCTCCAGCAAATCTACTAAAGTATTGCCACACAAACAAAGTATATACATAAAGCTTCATTTCTATTTAATAATACATTGGACCCTCAGTTAACGACATCATCGGGTAACATAACAATCAGATAACGACACGTTTCTGCATCAAAATATTGGCTCAGTTAATGACAAAGAACTCGGTTAAAGACAACTGTCCCAAACGTGTCCGTGCACCATGACTGGAATGGACACTCCATGTACAGCCAGTGTGCCATTGTTTACAAGCCAGTGAGGACAATTCCACGCATACATGCGATACATTTTGTATTATTCCATTGTTTTTAGTGCTTGTAACTGCTAAATAAGCAACCATGGACCCAAAGAAAGCTTCTAGTGCCAGCCCTTTGGTAAAGAGGGTGAGCAACACAATAGAATTCAAGGAAAAGTGTGTAGAAAGATACGAAAGTAGTGGTGGTAGTGATGGTGGTAGAGGGTGATAGTATGGGCCAACAGGTCTGCTGCAGTGTTCCTGCTCTTTTATGTACACCAGCCAGGGTACTTAACCATATACCAGCCAGGGTACTTCCCCACATACCAGCCAGGGTACTTCCCGACATACCAGCCAGGGTACTTCCCCACACACATGATTTGATTTCATTAGGACTTGCGCATGAATGAATAGAATTATCGAAGCTTTTTGCTTTGGAAGCATTGAAAATTGGGTTGGGCAAATACGATTCTGTTAGTGGGATGGTTTGTGAAGGACCTGCCTAGTATGGGCCAACAGGCCTGCTGAAGTGTTCCTTCTTTCTTATGTGCAAAAATTTATGGATGAACACCCCTGAACAGCATGCGGGGCCGTGCTGGCAACATCTACAATACAATGTTGTGTCCCATTTTAGGGAAATCTTAAAGAGATGCCAGAAACAGAGCTCTCATCACTCATAAAATAGTCTTCAAAAAGGTAATTCTTTTTATTAATTATTAATGTATTATTCCCGATGTCTCATTGGTTTTCTGTGGGGGAAATGTATTTTCATGAAAAAAATGATTTTTTGAATACTTTTGGGTGTCTGGAACGGTTTAAATTTGGGATTTAAATCATTTTTGAAGGGAAAATTAATTAGATAATGACAGAATAGTTAAAGCCGGCTCTGGGGAAGGATAATGCGTTAATGAGGGTCTACTGTCCCTTAAATCACTACAGAATTGGATGTGGTTAAGATCTGACAAGCTGACAATGGACATTGTGCAACACCACCTTCGCTGCTTCACCTAAATTGCTGGTAAATAAGCCCTTTCCATGATATGTTGTACCTTTGATTGAGATGAGGGGAATACACCAACTAAAGGCAAAGGGGACTAATTCCTTAAACCCTTCTTATTTTCCCACCATTCATTTTGCACCTAGAGAAGAAAACCCTTTTTGGGCAAAACATTTCCAAAATAAAGATCCCCAAGTATTGCCAATGTCCAATCGTTATTATTATTATAACAACTAAATACTAAAATAATAAAAATAAAAAAATACAAATTAAAAGCAAAAAGACTTTCAGAAATTATTAAAAATCCACTAAAGTATCTGAGGGTTTAAAAATTTTGTGCATGAAATTTAAACGAGTTCATCAAGTCATAAGCAATAATAGTTTTAGCTTTTAAACACTTAACCCCTTTTACTGTTTCCGAGATAAATACGTCTTACGAAACCAATGTTTTTGACAATTTTACGCAAAAATTTAGCAGCTTAAATCAAAAACAGGAGAAAGCTGGTAGGGCCCCATGTAAGAATGGGTCCCATGGTCAGTGCACCATAAAAAAAAAATCGGGAGCCGTGGGATTGTGGGAATGCCATTTCGTTGTCCTTTTTCAGCATGTCTAGCGGTAAAAATATTGATTCCCCCAAATCTGGGGTCTTTCCCTTTTCCCAATGAGCTCTAACACAGTGGAATGTCATGAAGATCAATTTTTATATTTGGAGGAGTTTGAACCAAAACAATGGGGGGAGAGGGGGAGGGGGGAGGAAGAGGAGGAAGGAGGGGGAGGAGGAGGAGGAGGGGGGGGAGGAGGGGAGGGGGAAGGGGGAGGAGGAGGGAGGGGGGAGGAGGAGGAGGAGGGGAGGGAGAAAGGAAGGAAGAAGAAGATGTAATAATATTGTTCCCCTTTAAGCAAAAAAAAAAAAAAGTACCCCCTGACGTGACAAATAAGGGGGGAATAACATCTGTAAGAGCGACTTGATGAGCTAAAGAGGGGAAAAAATTTCATGACCATCGCCCCCCCCTTTGTTTTTTTCTGGACACAAAATTTGTCGTCTGTCTATTTGCTGTCTGTCAAGCTCCCTGTCGTCCATCTAGCTCTCTGTCTCAGGAGAGCCACAAGACTTGTCACACTTTTCTCCATCTTCAGCAGATATAGGGACTTTGTTGGATTTCTTTGGGGTTTTCCTAGGGAATTTTAAACTTTTATACTTGTATTTTTTGTGTACCTGGAGCAGAAAGGCAACAATAGAAAGAGAGACGATTGAAAGATTAAAAATGAGGGAGAAAGAAATTAGATAGAATGGGGGGGGAAGCAGACCACCCCATTTTTTTACAGGCGGTAGGGGGAGGACTAATAACAATAGTCACTTTGGGCGCTCCGACTTCTGACTCAAAACAATTAAAAGCCCCAACTCGCACACAAAAGGAAAGGGGGAGGAGGGGAGGAGGGGAGGAGGAGGAGGAGGAGGAGGAGGGGGAGGAGGAAGGAGGAGGGGAGAGGAGGGGGGGGGAGGAGGGGGAGGGGGAGGAGGAGGAGGAGGAGGAGGAGGAGGAGGAGGGAGGAGGAAGGAGGAGGGGAGGGGGAAAAGGAGGAGGAGGGGGGAGGGGGAAAAGGGGGGAGGAGGAGGAGGAGGAGGGGGGATGAGGGGGAAAGGAGGGAAGGAGGGGGAAAAGGGGGAGGAGGGGGAAGGGGAAGGAGGGGGGGGAGGAGGAGAAGGAGGGGGGGGGGGGGAGGAGGAGGAGAAGGAGGAGGGGGGAAAGGAAGGAAGGATTTTGGGGGGGGGTTTTTGGGTTTGGGGGGGGGGGGGGGGGGGGTTTTTTTGGGGGGGGTTTTGGGGGGGGGGGGGGGGGGGTTTATTTTTTTTTTTTTTGGCTTTCCCTTTTTTGTTTTTCGCTTTTTTTGTTCTTTTTTTCTTTCCCCCCCTCTACTTTTTTTTTGCCCTTCTTCGCCCTTTTCCCCCCTTTCCCTTTTTCCCCCCTTTTTTTCGCTCCTCTTTTCTTTTTCTCTTTTTTTTTTCCTTTTCTTTTCCTTTTTTTTTTTTTTTTTTTCGTTCTTCTGCGTCTTTCCTTTTTCTTTTCTCCTTCTTTTTTTTTTCTTCCTTTTGTTTCTTTCTTTTTTTTTTTCCCTTTTTCTTCTCCCTTCCTCTCTTCTTCTACGCTCCCCTTTTTTCCCCCCCTTCTTTCTTCTTTCTTCCTTTCCCTTCTTTCCCCGTCTTCTTCTTCTTCTTCTCTCTTCTCTTTTTGCTTTAGCATGCTTCTCTTCTTCAAATAAATAAAATAAAAATACCCCCCCTAAAATACCCGCCCACAAAGTCACCAAATGAAGAAGCACAATAAAGACACCCCCCTATACACACAGACCAAAGCAGCACCAAAGACACAAACTGCCCACGAACATGAGCCCCCACACCCTAGCCCCCCACCAAAAAATGAAACCCGTTCCTAAACCCTTGATATCTTGTCTACTCCTTTGCTGCCATAACACTCATCATAATACATGCCACACCTGCTCATAACACGGTAAGTTACTGAGCAAAATAATTTTAAAAGACAAAAACACTCAGAAAATAAATCTAAACAATTCAAGATAAACAACTAGATTTTCTATATTTGAAATTTTCTGAAATTGACAGTTCAAGAGGGCCTGAAACATCAAAAGTTTTAACAAAAGCAAGTTCACATTAAAAACATCATATTAACTTTTTTTATTCTTATCCTTCCAAATTTGTCAATAAAAACAAAGAAAAGTTAAAAGTTAGTATTCTGCTTGAGTTGCGCTTACTCACAACAAACTTTTTCCACCATCCTCACTCCTACAAACACTCAACCTTTGACACTCAGAAATTTAACATAAAATTAACAAGCAAAGTTTCAAATCTAAAATACTGAAATACCATACAGATATACCACACAATGCATTAGCCCATTCAAATACTAAACTACATACACATATCTCAAAGATAATCTTGACTGCACCATCTTTGTTATTGGTAATTTGACCTCATTGAGGGTTTAGTGCCCTTTAGGTGTGCCCTGTCCCTCTTCCCCCTTACCAAAGAATAGAGAACTGTGGATTTCCTCAGCTTTTCATCCTTTAGCTGTGTTGTGTAAAAACATCTCTCCATCATTTCCGGGAATAACTGTGGATGGGTACACACTGCAGCAACTAAAACATCTTCCTTTTAAATGTAAGAAAACATATGTTTTATATTCATGGAAGTAAGGAGGAGATGCACCATTCCATGAGAGAAGCTGTCACTACCAGAGTTTAATACTATACAGTAAGGCACTTCTTATATAGCAGGTTAGGTTCCAGACTCCTGCTGAAAAGCAAAAATTGCCAAAAAGTGGAACATAGCCTTTTTTCCTTTCCAATGCATATAAAAGCCTGATAACATATTTACACTATCATATATTAAGTGCAGGGTGCATATTTAATAGGCTGTCAGGGGCATGGGGAGGCTGTTAGGGGCATGGGGAGGTTGTCAAGGGTGTGGGGAGGTTGTCTGGGGTGTGGGAGGTTGTCAGAGGTGTGGGGAAAGTTGTCAGGGATGTTGGGAAGTTATCAGGGGTGTGGGGAGGGTGTCAGGGGTGTGGGGAGGGTGTTAGGGGTGAGTCTGTAAACAGACTAAATTGCTGACAATAATATTATGACAGATGCACTTCCCTGACTCAGCAGTTGGATGCATCAGGCAAAAAAATGCCAAAAAAGCAAAACAAGCACTGAACATAATGAATAATGGATATACT